TATATATATAGAGAGAGAGAGAGAGAGAGAGAGAGATAAGTAAATAGATCAACAGACATAGGAATAACAATTTCAGCCCATATTTAAAAAAATCAACTCATTTTACCCAAATTAAATAAGTTGGATCACTCACTTTCTAAATGGTTAAGTATGAATTTTATCTTATTTTAAAAGCCCACATAAATATGGTCAATATGGGTTAATAGTGGGTGTCCATTTTTGGCCCATATCAGATTAATTTTTGGGCAACTCTCACATATAGCAAATAAAAAATTCATATTTGTATGCTATAACAAAGTTTGCATAATTGCACTCCATAGCAAACATAAAACTGTATAATTCGCTATACATATACAATTGTATAATTCGCTAGCCTATATTGTATAATTCGCTGACCTATTTCGCTGCAATTGTATATTTTGCTATTCCATTTCACTGCGATTGTATAATGCACAATTATATAATTCGCTGCCTATTTCGCTGCAATATTTTTATAAAATTTGCTTTGCATACAGTTGAATCGAATTAAAATGTATGTATATTGCATAATTATAAATGTATAGCAAGAATATATATGTTTTTCCCTCGCTTTATACAAAAACAGAAACACAATATATGGACTTATGTTGTATAAAAACTAGAGAAAATTGTATTTCACTGCAACTGTATAATTCGCAATTGTATAATTCGTTGGCCTTTTTTTTGCAATATTTGAAGTAAAATATTTGTAAATTGTATAATTAAGTGTATAACACGAATATATATATATTTTTGCATGTGTATATACAATTTTCTCTCACTTTATACAAAACAGAAACAGAATTTATACACTTCTATGTATAAAGCGAGAGAGGCGAGCGAGAATGGAGAGTTGCGAGCGAGATTTTTGGGAGAGATACGCTTGCCAAACTTTAGCTAACGTTTGCTATGGAGCACAATTAAATCAAACCCTAGCTATTTCATTTATTTTAGGTTATTAGTTTGCTATTATATACAATTTTCCGTAATATTTTTTTTTTTGAAGAAAATCCCTAATAGAGGCATTAAGATTACAGCTGCGCAGAAATCAGTAAGACGGTCTTGCTAAGACCGATGACTCAAATTTTTCTCCATTTCTCGACTCTCTACTGTAAAACTCCATTGCTAAGGTGTGTATTTTCTTGAGTTTCTTAATCAAGCTAGAAAGAAAATTCGTTCTCATCATCAAATTGCAACTCTCTGCTGAAAAAATCCATTGTTAAGGTATGTAATTCCTTGAGTTTCTTAATCAAGTTGGAAAGAAAATTCCTTCTCATCATCAAATTGCTAAGAATGTTTCTATGTCCACAACAATCTACCTGCTTTTCTTTGACAGAGATATATATGGAGGCTAATGAGCTTCTTGTGAGATCAGTTCGTCTATCTCGAGAAAACAATAAAAAAGAAACACTTCAATTGTTTGGAATACTTTCTCGAAATTGCCTCGTACTAGTGACAGTGAAAGGTTAAAAGCACAATGTCAGGTATGTAAGGAAGTATTTGTAGCCGATGTTGGCACTACAGCTATGAAACGTCATTTAGATAGGCACTTGGATAACACACAAGAACACGGATATGCATAAATTGATCAAATAATTTACCGTGAAAACCTGTATGTTGCTATTCTAAAGCATAATTATCCTTTTAGCTTTGTTGAACATCAAGGAAATAGAGATATACATTCATACTTAAATGCATCTGTGAAAACTATCTCAAGAAATACGGCTAAGGCTGATATATTGAAGTTATATGATCGGGAGGAAGAATTTTTAAAGTGTGAGCTTGCAATGATTTCTAGTAGAATCTGTTTGACTTCAGACATGTGGACTTCTGCAGCGTCAAATGGTTGTATGTGTTTAACTTTATGTTGATTTGAATTGGAATCTTCAAAAAAGAATCTTAATATTTCTTCATGTTTCGCCTCCACATTCTGGTGCAGTTTTGGGTCCTTTGCTTATAAATTTAATAAAGGAATGGGGCATTAAAATGAAGATTTTCACTCTTACCTTGGACAATGCTAGTTGCAATAATGGTGTAATAGATCATTTACAAGATCATTTATCTCTGATGCGTTCTCTAGTTTGTGATGGAAAGTTCTTCCATATTCGTTGTGGTAATCGTATCTTGAACTTAATAGTGAAGGCTGGTTTGGAAAAAGCAGATGACGCCATTGAAAAAGTAAGAGAAGGTGTTAAGCACATTAAAAATTCAGAAGGAAGAATATTAAAGTTTGTGGAATGCATTATGAATCATGGGTTGCCATGTTCGAAGAAGCTTTGTGAAGATGTAAGTAGTCGGTGGAATTCCACTTACCAAATGCTTGATAGCGCTCTTCTCTACCAACAAGCTTATATTCAATATAAATTTCTTGATATTGATTTTAAATAGTCTTTCCGATGAGGAATGGAAAAGGGTAGAGAGTATTGCTAAATTCTTGAAGTCATTTTTTGAGATTACTACATTATTTTCCGGAAGCAAATAGCCTACTGCAAATTTGTATCTTCCAAATGTATGGAAAATTCAAATGTTGCTAAGGGAAGCAAAAAATAGTAGTGATCGAGTTAAGAATGATATGACTACTTTGATGCTAAGAAAGTTTTAAGAAATATAGGAGGTCGTATAGTATGATTTTGTCAATTTCCATTGTCCTTGACCCTCGATATAAATTGAAGTTTGTGAGGTTTTGTTTCTCCAAGATAGATCCTATGACCGCAGATGCTAAGGTTGAAAAAGTTGTAGATCATTTACAATTGTTATTTAGAGAATACTTGGTACCTTCAACAATTTCTCTCTTAGGGGAGAACGTTTGTCATACAAGCAACAATGAAATGAGGGATGATGTTGAAGAGTTTGATGTGTTTGCGAATCAATTAGATTCTGGTAGAGATAAAACACAATTGATTTGTACCTAAAGGAGCCTAAACTTGATCGCAAAGGGAATCCAAATTTAGATGTACTTGCATATTGGAAGGAAAATAGAGGAAGGTATACAGAGCTTTCGTTGATGGCACGAGATATATTGAGCATACCAATTGCCACGGTAGCTTCAGAATCTACCTTTAGCATTGGAGGTCGTATTATTGGAAAGTTTCAAAGTTCTATTTTACCTTCAAATGCTGAAGCAAAATTGTGTGCTAAAGATTGGCTCTGTGGACAAGAAGGTAAGTCATCATTAACATATTGAGATTTATTTTGTTATGTTATAATAGCCTTACTTTATAGTTTAACGTCTTATTTTCTAGATTGTGATGGATCAGACCGATGAGGATGAAATTGCAGTGGAACTTCAACCGTATCTTGCTAAACTTGGCTCACATTGATCGGTAAATTTCTGTTCTGTTTGAATGACTTTCTGTTTCTGCATTACTTGGCTTGGCACCTTCTCCATCTCTGGTTTCTGCATTAGTTGGCTTTGTTCCTTGATTTGCCATCTTTATAACCTCATTAATTTGTTTCTTAAGGCTAGCTACTGTGTGAAAAAAAAACAGGATAATGAAGATTTCAAATTTAGGGAACCTTACATTAGAGATTTTAACTCATATTTCTGTTAGTACAGAGGAGTCCAACAAGAAATTTGATGATTTCATTAAGAAAATCAATCAAGAGAGGTTGCTGCAGAGGCAAGAATCTGATCAGCGTGCCCACAGTATTAATATGCTAAATCGAGCACGATAAGTGTTTCCTTGTAGACATGCAACTGATGGCATGGAGTTCTTGCGTTCCTCGCATGAAGCCTGATGTAAGGTTCCCTAAATTTCAAAAGAACCTGTGAGAGAGTTTTATCTGAAGATTGTAGAAGTTGTATATTTCTAGTGTATGCAGCAGCTCTTCTGAACTTTACAATGGCAGCTTTTGCATTCAACATCAAGTTACTGGTCTAATTTTGGAGAACAATAACTTCACTTCAACCTTACTGTTCAAGAACTCCAAGAGAACAAACAAGGGCAGTTTTTGCACTAAAATTTAATACCAAGAGAATCCCATATACTTAGTAAAGTTAATACAAGGTAACAGACTAACAGTAGAACAACTTCAGTTAAGGACACAAGAGCTAATGTCCAACTCAGTGGCTGCAATTCAAGATTATTGAACAAAGAAGAAGAAATCCCAGCATCCTGATGCGCTGTTGGCTGCTGCAGATCGCCCGTCAAATATTATACTATTTTGTTTAGTCTGTTGTTTAGCCATGAGACTGCACTTCTTTGTTTATATTTGTATTTTTGTACTTCGATTATTGTATTTTGATGTTAATACTTGATTTCCACGGAATGAATACTGATTTTTATCCTTTTAGTATCATTTGGAGTACTATTTGTTGGTGATGTCTCTTTATTTGTTAATATTTGATTTTCACTTCTTGATTGCTTATTGTTTGTATGTAAATGTTAGATGGAAGGGAGGTGATTTGATGTACGGAGTAATTGAGAAAATTATGTAATAATGTTCTATTATCGAGAAGAAATAGATAAATTGATGTCATGAAGGAGATAATGTTTGTTTCTTAGTCAAGGATACATGGAGAGGTTCTTAGTGGGTTAGAACCATTTTACCCAAACCATATTTGATCAAATTCATATTGTCCATATTCTATTTGGGTGGATTGTGATCCAAACCATTTTCGCTCAATCCATATTTAATGCATCCAAATCCGATCCAATCCCACCAATTGCCACCCCTAGACAGATATATATACAGATATATAAAGTTTATATTTGGAAATGCTATGCATCGAATCTCACTCACAATTTTGCGTAAAATCTATATCTATATTCTATATTATATAATAATAAAGCTAAACATAGAGAAGGTGAACCATCTATGACCTATATTTATCTTTTTTTCTTCTAATTTTTTTGACATTTTAATTCAGTTTTAGGCAAATAATAATAATAATAACTTATGATATTATAGCGAGATTTAATGCATACAATAATGTCATTTCAACAATAGTTACTTTACTATCCACCTTTTCATATGCAATTATGCCATTTCAAGAATGCCTATTAATGTATCACCTTTATTCTATTATGATATTAAATTAAAAAAGAACAACTGTGAGGCTGTCAGCCAAAATATATATTTGTTGTAAAATATGAATCATATTCTACAAGAAATATAGACAAGAGATACAAATAGCAGAATGTCAAGATCATCAATGTCATACAATGATGAAGTAACAACCTTATATATAGGTTGAGAAACTACTCCAAAGGTCACCATGTTAATGGATACATTCTTATTCAAAATGGTTCACAGAACTTAGGAATATACATACATGAATGTAATTAGGTCATATATTGAGTAAATAAGCAATCCACTAATTCAATGGATTTATAG